TTCTTTTTATGGGGGTCTTCTTTTCAGGACTGGCCTTTCTTTTAGCCATCCTACTCCTAGAGTCTATAAACATCAACAACACAGTAGTGAAAAAGAGTGCTCGACATCAGGACTGGAAGGATTTTGATGGCATTTTAACAACACCCAGTTGTTGTGTGAATAGCTAGGGTTAACTAGCTATTGGTGTTAATTTACTGATTAACTTATAAAACACATGCTCAACTTACTGAAAAAGTCCCACAGCGGCTTCCATCCTTAATGTTGGGGAGTCCAGTTGACGGCAGAACACCTAAACTTGGGGCCCATGTCACCCCTATTTGCGGCTATATATTTAAGTGAAGAATTATAAAGCAATTTGGCACTTGAAGTTCCTTTGTTGTTAGGGAGGATTTATTTGCGTTTGTGTCCAATGTTAAAATCCGTTCTTAAAAAAGCAAAAAAAAAATTTAATATGAAGGTCTATAGCCTCAGGGTGCTGGACTTGGGATGAAACCCTCCATGCATGGTCAGGAGCTTCCTCGTCTGGATGTCAGTGGCTTCTATCTCCTCCTTTGGCCAGCTTATTATCCTAGTGGATGATCACGGGCAGAGCATAGGTGTTGATAGCCCAGATCTTGTTCTTACCATTCAGCTGACTCCTTAGGACTTGCCTGACCCTCTGCAGGTAATTGGTGGTTGCAGCTTTCCTAGCGGCCTTTTCGTGGTTCCCATTTGCCTGTGGGATCCCCAGGTACTTGTAGCTATCCTCCATTCGCTTCCGCTTATCCTTTTCAGGGTGGCGGGGGGTGCTGGCGCCTATCCCAGCTGTCATAGGGTAAGAGGCGGGGTACACCCTGGACAGATCGCCAGTCTGTCGCAGGGCTAACACACAGGGACAGACAACCATTCGCACTCACATTCACTCCCGCATTCAGACCTATGGGCAGTTTAGAGTTTTCAATTAACCTATGCCCACAAAGTGCATGTCTTTGGACTGTGGGAGGAAGCCAGAGTACCCGGGGAGAACCCACACAAATACAGGGAGAACATGCACAACTCCACACAGAAAGACCCTGCTGGCCTGATGGTGGAATTGAACTCAGGACCATCTTGCTGTGAGGCAAGTGCTAACGACCATGCCACCATAGATAGATAAATAGATATATAGAGAGAGATATAGATATATATAGATATATAGAGAGATATATATAGAGAGATATAAATATTTATATAGATATATAGATATATATCCTGTATTTACTTATAGAAGTTGCAGTTTCACATCTCCAACATAGTCATAAGTACATAAGTAAACTAAGTTCTATAATAAAAATGAAGAGCTTTAAGACTCTTCTGGAACCTGATCTTAGGATCTTCTTGGCCTCTCACATTGTTTCCAACCATTGTTGGTTTAACCACACCTTTGCTAGCTGCACACTCTGAAGTGCTGTAAAATGGTAAATGGCCTGTATTTGTATAGCGCTTTACTTAGGACCACACCAAGGACCCCAAAGCGCTTTACACTACATTCAGTCATTCACCCAGTCACACACACATTCACACACTGCCGTATATCATATAAATGACATCAGTATGCCTGTGTGTGTTATTTTAATATACGTGCTGTAGTTCAGTTTAACTTCAACCTCCTGTGGCTTCATTTATGCATCACAAAGTTTGTCACTGTGGAAAAGATGTCTTTCAGTGAGTAAAAGGGGCTTAAAGTTTTTTCTCAAAAAGGCGACTGATTCAGGAAATTAGAAAAGTAAATTAGTAAAATTCAGATTTTGGGCCTTAGAATGAGATTATGGCTTTGGTACTTTAGAACAACTGTAGTGTCTGTTTTAAAGTTTACTGAACTGCTGTTTTATATTTGCAACACCTCCTTTTGTCCTCAAGAGGGAGACTTATACCACATGTTAGATCTCCCCCACAGCTCTTTCCTTTGGATAGATGATTTAAAAACCTCCCACCAGTGACTATCAATTAACCGAGAAACTGACTTTTCCCCCCACTGCTGCCTCTCTCAAGGACCAGTGTCCAGCAATGAGAAAACTAAATTAAATCATTTCCCTTTTTTTCACGCCAGTATTCATTCTGAGTGCAATGTTTTATTTATTTATATTTTCAAGACTAATGGCCATTTGGTATTGATTCAGCCATCCACTTTAAAAGCCAGTCCATTCATTTTCTATCTCCCTAAGAGGCATAACGACCAATGTTAGGCTCCCCTGAGTCCATTATTCATTTTTTTTCCCTCACAGTAAGACATTTATTCATGCTAACGCAAGAAGACAAATGCTAATATACCCACATATAAAGTGGTAACCGAAACCTGAGCAAGTAAGCTGGACTTGGAGGGAGCAGAGTCTGAGCTGATAGTGAGTACTTCTCCTAAGCCTATTAGTACTGCTGGGGATACTTGGTGGTAATGATTGAAAGCCACTTAGCGCTGGTGTATTTACCAAGAGGATCATCCAGGGCATGGTTAAACAGCCCTGATGAATTAATTCAGTTTAATGTACATTGACAAGGAAAGGAAAGGAAAGGAAAGGAAAGGAAAGGAAAGGAAAGGAAAGGAAAGGAAAGGAAGTTAAGTTGTCCTACTAATTCAGGCTCTCATTGCCTCAAGTCATTTCGAAACAAAACAGGGTGTGCCTCACACAAATGTAAGGCAAATCCAGAGGTCAAACACCCGTGCTTTCTTTCCTTGCACAGTTTACGTGACAGCCTTTTTAGTTTAGTTTTGTCCATTTTTGATTTATTGCTTAAATGGATTATGAAGACCTCGTACCTGTATCCACACCGTACGTTGCTACTTTTAACAAAGAACTCATGCAGTATTTCCTTTTAATGGAGTAAATGTACGCCACAACACGTGGTGCTGGATCCCCCTCTAAAATAATGTGTGTCTAGAAACACTGCCGCATGTTACGCAGACATAAAGATGCCATCTTTTCTACAGTGTAGCCGAGCCATGGTTGGAACATGTCTCACATGACACATGTAAAACATGTGTGGCCCAACAGTGTGTGAGGAGGCACACATGCAGGTAACTGACTTGTTTCTTGAACGGTGCAGTATGGTGAGTAATATTAACCTGTAAGACCACAGTACTGTGTTGCAAGCACTTGCGAGATTGCAGTATAAGTTGAATTCAATACAAAGCTGGGCAGGCAGCCAAGCAATGTCTGGTGCCTTGCCATCCATTTCCATGACAGACATAGAGGGCGTTATGGATCACTGGCCACTCATCTCATGTCTCAGGTACAACACACACATTTCAACTGGCAGTTTCTATGTCTATGATCACTATGCAGCTGACCATGAAACTTAAGGTAAAAAAAAGTACACTTAGATTACACAAGACATTTTCCTGAGAGTAAATGATTCAAATCAAAATAAAGGATTGGTTCTTTTCTCTTTCATGTGTAGGATGAGCTTGAATCACTATTTTTAGTTGCTTTGCAACCTCGGCAAACAACAGATTAACTGGAAAAAGAATTTCTCTGACACATTTTAGAAATGTAATGTTTTCATCTCAACAGCTGAAATATGCACAGCCCTGGCAGCCTCTCACATTAAAAACTGACATACTGTTTCCAGTCCAGCTGTCAGGTAGGAGCGCCCAGATGTTGCTGCTGCAGTGGCGTTATGTAAGCCAATGTAAACCAGAGATTTCCCTCGCAGTCACATGGGCAGAAACAATGAGCTTCAGTCTCACACACACATCCAGACAGATAGCAGATTATCTGCAGGATTTGCAGAGTAAATCTGCTCTTTTAAAAAGTGACATTTCTGTTTTTACTGGATGCAGAGCAGAAACACAAAGCACACAATGGGGCTTGTGTCACTGGTTATTCTGTACGTGATAGATGATGAGGCCTTAAAGGCAAGACGTTGCGCACACAGTCACTCTCGCCTGCTGCTGTCCTAAAGCAGTCTTAATCCTGGGTAAATGCATATCGGTGGCTTTTGGCTTAGTTTGTCTGTTTTTTGTTTTTTTGTAAGACTGCCATCATGAAAAGTCCAGCAGAAATCAGATAAACTGTGTGCTGTAGACAGTAGACTCACTCTGGCCACTTAAGGAGCAAAGGTGAAGGTACTGGGGATGATGCAAAAGCATGCAAATACATGGGCGTCTTTCCTTTTGACAGCAGGCCAGAAACAGAGGAGAGGAAATGCTTGGGCAGCTGCAGCTGTTCTGCTCCAAATATAGCTGCTCGAACACATTGATTACACAGGATCATTATCACTTGCCATTTGCTCTTCTTCACTCTTCATCAATAGAAGTATCATGTTGGTGCTTTCGATCACGTACAAAGAGCACGGTGCAGTCCTGAAACTTACAGATACATAAATTCTCAAGCATTCCACGTTAGGCATCATTTTCTCTCTATACATTATCGACTGACTGGGATGCAGCCAAGTATGCAAGGAGGGAGGGAAAAGTAATGGATTCATCACAGTGAGAGAGAAAGAGACACTTATACTAAGATGACCTCACTTTATGTGAGATGCCTTACAAGAGAAAATCTGGAACAACTGGTCTGGAGGGCAGTTTTAGAAGAAAGAGATAATGGATAAAAGATAAACCGACCAGTTTTTCCAGCTCATAGGTAGTTAGGTTTTACTTCAGGAGATGATAAATAAACAGTCTATTATGATATTTAAGATACACTAGAATAAAACAAATGCACCTAAACACAATTTCCAGCTCCAAGTCAAACAACATTCGCTAGCTGCCTAATAAGCTACCTGGAGAACCTTGCACGATCCCTATTATACCATAGATCTGCACTTTAATAGCACAGCTTAAATTCTTATACACACTATGAACTATGTAGAGTGAGTGAGTCTATCCCGCACAGTATGGAAAATATCTATCCAGCTACTGTATCTGTCAGTCTATCTAGCTATCATTTGTAAATGCAGACAGGCAGGGGGCGTGCAAAGGCCACCGGAGAGCAGCCAGAGCTGTATCTGCACAGGCTGAGGCTGCTGGCAGAGGAAAAGTGATCGTGGCAGAGGAGAGATGTAGCAGCGCTGCTCGGTGGGACTCTGTGGCCAGCCGTCTGTCACTTCTTTTAAAACCAGAAATTGTTTTTGTCAGACATTACCGTGAATGGGAAAGATTGAATGCATCTTATAGCACAGTGGCGCCGTGTGAATGTGTCGCGTAATGCGACCGAGAAGGATTGCCTCTCGGGGGAAATATTTATGTTTCGGGACGGTTTTGTTGGAGTAGCTAGTTGCTAGCGCTGGGCTAGCGACTGTGCTGGCTACTTGGAACGTATTCTGCAAGGATGATTCGGTGGATACGACAGCAGCTGGTAAATGAAACCGCACGTCCCATCTTCTTCATACATACCGCTTTCCTCTTATTAGTTCGCCACAGCAGCCAGCCTCCTTACGTATTGTAAGGCTTAGCCCGCGGAAAGCAGAATAAACTTTATTTAGAGAGCAAGCTAACCTAGCCAATTAGCTGTTGCTGATGTGTTCAAAACATTCCATTTCCCCTTAATGACAGTCAGGTGTAGGTTACGTTAGCTAACAATTACCTTATCTGCTAGCTGTCAGTAACAAAGAGTTTAGACCTCAACAAGGGACATTGGTTGAGTTCAAATTTGAGCTTGAGGTATAAGTTTGGTTCGAACTTTGATAGCATTTTAACAACTGTCGGGTGATTTCCGTTACTAAATGCACCTGAGAGTTAACTACCTTAACACTAGCTAACTGGCTAACAACGTCAAACTTGGCAAAGTTATAAAGCGTCTCTGGCTTGCTTTTATCTAGTGTTAATGCACAACTTTCGCTTAGACTGAGCTCAGTTTCAAATGTTCTATTTAATGTTTGTTCAGGGGACTAATAAACTATCTTTAACTGAGCTAGTTAAGACGTAAGCCTCAACACTCGAGGGTAATAATTGACGTTAGCTTGTGTTATTTTAACTTTACTTCGGCCCACTTCTTTGTTCCCTGCTTTCGTTACATGATCTATATCTGTATGTATTATTTGAAATTGAACTGATTTGATTCGTCACACCGCATCCTGTTTCTGCTGTAATCACCTGTTGTTTGTCTGCAAACATGACGGTCGCATTGACGGGCGAAGGCATCAGTTAAACCACAATAGTGGCCCGTTTTGGTACAGTAGAAAGAACGAGTTCTGAATTATGGCTAAAGAAAGCTACAGTGTCACGGTGCTTGTGGCTGTAATCATGAAGGTCTGTGTGGTCATTTCACTGTGTTTAAGCAGAGTTGGGATAAGAAGCACATTCAGTGATCGGCAAATGAGAGTGGCGTGACCAGTGGTGAAGAGCCATGTGAATGAATGAGTGATTGCATATTATGAGATTAGCCACACACAAACTGTTGATGTCACCATGTCTACTGAGTTTAATCAGTGTTGGGGGTGTTTTTGACCTCTCCCCGCTCACTGTGCACTCTCTGTAGTTAAGGTTAAGTTAAAGTGACACTTATTAAATTTTATGAGTCATGCTCAGCTTCAAGTTTGCCTGTTTAAAAAAAAATCATTTTTGCTTTTGGAGATTAAGAGCACCACAGAGAGTTAGGGGTCTATTTAGAAATGGTACATAGCCTCCTCCTAATTTAAGATAGCTCAGCTCATTTGACCCATCCCGCCTAATTGACCTGGCTGCTTAATTAAAAGTGTAATTAAAATGCATCTTAATACAGCTGGCCTAATGAAAAAGTTTGTTGAGGGGCATTAGTCTGACCCAAATATCAGCTGGACGGTAGAATGGGGATGTTTGTTCACTCATACTATTTATCAGCTCTTTCTGATGGAATGAAGGGGGAGAGAGATGTGACGGTTTTCATTGTCAGTCTTGGTTCAGTTACACTATAAAACAAACCAGAAATTAAAGCACAAGGAATGGTAGCAAAAAAGCAAAGTCTTTGACATACTAGTTTGCAAGCCTGAAAACTGGGTTTTCTAGATGTCTTTATGGAGACTTAAAGTCTGTATGTTATTGCTGACAGATATTAAAAAGACTGGTATAAGTCTTCCTGAGGTTTTGTATATAGTTTAAGTGCACTATGAGAGAAGTATTTATTGAATTACCCTTGCTTTACCAAGTCACGTTAATCATGATATAATCATGAAAAATAGAGCAACTATCAAGAGCGCAAATGAGCAAAAGGAAAAAAAACATCTGTCTATACTACTCATCTGTAGCCCATTGAGCAAATGGGAGTTTCCTACATTTTTTTGAGTGTCATTCAGGCTCTTTCCTGGATATTGCTGCAGCAGCCCTTGTAATAATCCACTGACACCCAGCAATAAAACATCCTTATGTGACCCATGATAAAATATCATTCCTTACTCTCTAGCCCTGCTCTGACTACTCTGTTGCTGTGGGTTGCACAACAATATATTTTTTTCTAATATTTTATATTTGGTGATGTAGTCCATCAGTTTAGCTTATATGCAGTTTATTTTATTGTATTGCTGTTGTCATCAGTCTTATGTTTAAAACTAGTACCCACTGTACATGAGTACATACTGTTTATTGCCCCCCCCCCCCTTTTTTTTTTTTCTCTTTACAACCACCTCACTTTTTTGTTAACATTTCCATTTAGCTCATCACGTTTGATTAAGTGCCACTTAATCTGTAATATGACCCCTTGGTTGTGTTGCGTTGCCATTATTCAGGGCTGTTTCCCCAAGGTATTGTGGGACTTGTAGGCTTTATGTGGGGACTAATTAGCTGCCAGCCTTCAAATTGATGGGGGTATAGAGTCAATGGGTCAAAACAAGCTGATTTCAGCTTTATAGTTTTTAGTTATAAGCCTACTTTTATCTTCATTTTCAGTGGTATAATGTTCAAAATATATTTAAAGCATATATGGTTACGTGAAGGTGTTTAACTCAAAATTGTGAGGTACACCTGGTAGTGGTATTGAAAATTGAGTAAACCCAGCAGGAGTAATAGTATCTGTTACTCATCTGTTACTTGTATCCATCCACTCTCAGATTGGCAAGCAGTTTTCAGACATTTGTGCTATAGAAATAGAATGTCATAAATTACTGCACTTTTCACTCTAGACTTCACCTTAGGTGTTCGGCTTATTACCGCTGGTCCTCAAAACAACCAAACCATGTTCAACTGTTTAGGAATATTTTATTTTAAAATAAGTCAACCTCTTCATGTTATGTCTATCCAAACAAATGTCTACAGAGCCTTCATTAGATAAACTTCCTGCTGCACTGCAGAAATCTGTAATCTTATATAGCAGAGCTGCATCGGATCCACAAAATGCTTTGGCAGCTACCTTGTGAATTGAATTAGCATAAAATTAGTCATTTTTAAGCACAAATGCCAAGTTTGTGCTTGGTGCCAAATGTCAAAATTTGAAGTTTTTCTGTATCATATACAAATATACAGAATATCTTTTAGTCCTTGGGCTGTTGTTCAGGTAAAATAATTATATTTCCATAGCCATAGTCACACTAGTGGTTGCAGACTGTTGCGTGACTAAAATTGTAGGGCGGTGAGTTGTATCTATTTAACTTTGGTGTGTGTCAAGATGGCTAAAAGATGGTGTCGGTCTGTTGTTAGGTTGCAACTGAATGGGGGAAGTTGACAATTACATGCAGTTTGTTTGAAGTGTCATTAGCTTAACGCTGAACTATAGAGAAAACGGATCCTGTTAAAGCCGTAATGCTGGACTTGCAGAAACATCGACTGAGGTGCTTCTCTCAGTGTTCTCTTTAACATGAGAACATGTTTGTTAGAGCTACGCAGGTTTTTATGTATATGGCCATCAGTCATTTTAACTGTAGTTATTGTTCACCAAGATATTGATGATCGGGTAACTTAAATGTTAGTTCCGTGACGTGCTCAGGCAATTTCCACAGTTGCCTGAAAAACTGGGTGGCAAATAGGAACAGAGTAAATCTCCAGTAACCGTTGTCTGGATTGCTCACAGCAGTTGCGTAAAGGTGTGTTAAGCATGATGTTTGCACTGTTAAAATTTGTAACTGCTTTAAGCTCTCTGTAAGGATTGACTAATTTCATTGACTCATCTGTTGCTTTTCTGCCTGTGGGGAATTTTTTGGCTTACAAAAGTTACTTCTTGGCCCCTCACCATCTGCAGTTTCATTTTCTTTAAAAAGAGAACATTAAAATATCCCTGGTTAAGAATTCACAGTGAGCTGTTGTTTGCCATTACTAATAAGACTAGAAAAGTTGCAATATACATATTGCATTTTTATACTACTACAAATAACACTTGTGTGGTAAGCCATTAAGTTAATGGTTTACTGGTTTAATTTAATCATTAAACTTTTGTCTACTTTTTCATTCCAATCCAAGACATTTTTTAATGCAGTGCTACTGGGACAAACAAGAAAACAAAATGCTTAATTCTACATACTTTCCAATCTCCAGTTGCCCATTAACTTGAAGTAAAGGACAAATATCTCACTAAGACAAATCCACCTTTTAGCTGCAATGTCTGAGTTTGTAAAGCACTTAATAAATGAGGACAGTGTGTATGTAAAAAAAAAAAAAAATGTATATGAAGGCATGCATATATATATATATATATATATGCATGCATGCCTTCATATGTTTAGGGTTTCATGTCCTCTTTAAGATGTTCCCAACCCTGTTGCCCACTTTGTTTCAGGATCTGGTCAAATAGACCTTTGTTTTGTTTTTTAAACTGCTGCTCAGCCGTCAGTAAATGAGTGTTTGCAGACAAGTTGGTGTCTTCCCTTCAAACCGCAGACTACTTAAATAATCTACTGTGGATTTCGTTAAGCCATTGGGAAATGCACTCCCTGTCTTGTGATCGGAGGATGCCAGGGGCTCAGGGTATTTATGTTACTGAGCCCAACATGTTTTACATGTGTAAACACACATACGTAAAACATCTTGGGGCTCAGTGCCTGTGTGCCCTTTCCTTAATTCTGCAACCACTTCTTCAAAATCCTAATTGGCCATGGTGTTACTACAATGCAGAATTCAGCTTCTTCGTGTACTTTCAACAATGCCTACTGAGCTGTGTATATCAAATAACTGTTGAACAACAGTTTCTTAAAGTTGCTGTAATGGTTAATTGATCAATGTTTATATCATTTTATAAATGTAAATGCAGAAAAAGAGAGAGAGACAATTTTCCCTCTTTTTTTCTCTGCCCATTTTTTTTTTTTTTTTTTTTTTTTTTAAAAGCTGAGAGCTAGGGGTTTGCGGTATAAACGGTATACAGTAGAAATGATATAAATTTGGCCAACGGTAGAGAGTGGTATTTTTACTATACCACTCTACCACGATAGTGAATGTTGATGGTGTCATCATCAAGCTGCGCCTGTTTTGGTCAAAAGCATTGCAGCGGCTGCAAACAACATTATCTGCAAATTATGCTGGGCGACAGTAATAGCAAGGAGACGATGCACTTTTGGAATATGAGGAAAGCCAAAAACTGCGCTTCCTCCACTTCCGTACCATTGATTCATTAATGCCGAATTCTCTCGCAGCCGCTCTATTCCCGTGTTGTTGCAGTATATCAATGACTAACCTCATATTGTGGATGGATCTCAGTTGTTCTCCTGACTGAAGTTTGGTCCGTTTATAGCATCCTGCTATGCAATTGCATTTGTCCCTAACCAGGAGAAACCCTCACGTTAACTTGTATCGAGTGGAAAAAAGCGTTCATCCTTCAGCTTCACTGTGCTAATGTTATGCTAACGTAGCTATTTTGCTAGCAATTACGTAGGACATCATTATACACCAGCTAGACCATCTTTAGTAACCCTACAAACGTCACTGCTTAGTTTTCTGTCTTCATTTATGTTGGAAGTGATAGCAGAGCTGTACGTTTTAATTTTTTCAGATATCTCTCAGTCAGAACATGGCATATCATGTTTAGGTGGAAGCTAGCAAGCTAACTTCCTGCTAACTTCTAACTCTGTTGAATTTAATAAATTCTGTTTTCATGGATGCCTGGGTGTTAAACTTAATTGTTACACCTGGTAAAGCAGCAACGCTGATCATTTTAATAAAGATGAAATAATTTAGACAGTTTTTAACTCTCAGTAAAGCCGCAGTGTTTGTTTGACTTTGGGACCTGTAGCAGACGGAGTTTTGGACCCAGATTACTCCGCGAGGCTCCTGACTATGGTAGCCGTAATGCTCCGACAATTCATCAGGCGGTGCGGCTTCGTAGCTTACCAAAGTCGTACTAAAACATTTTTGAGTGCCGTGTACTACATAAAATCTGTTTGAGGTCAGTAAGCACAACCAGAATTCATACATAAGGCACACTGTCGATTTTTGAGAACATTAAAGGATTTTAAGTGTGCCTTATAGTGTGTAAAATACGTTATACAGAAGAAAAGAATATATCGCAATATACAGTATATCATTACCGCACATGCTTCAAATTATACCGTGATATAGATTTTAGGCCATATCGCCCAGCCCTACTGTGAGCAAATAATACAAAAAAATAAATGAAGAATACTGAAAATATTATTTCCACAAGTGGATAACTGATTTTATGCCATCACCTGCATTGCCCATTGGCTGAGTTACTGTATGACAAAGTCATATGAGCTAAAGGCTAACAGGTGTTCTGTTATTCAGTCATTGAACTGCATGTGCTGCATTAATTTTCACAACGGTCAGATGGGAGAAAGATGAAGAGACTGAGAACATTACAAAGATGGGTGCTAATGGTTTACATGTGTCCCTGAACAGAGGTTGATCTTTCTGGAAGTGTAGTGACGTGACCCAGATACATTCCTTTTTGTGTGGTCGGGTGTGCGTATTGCGTCACTTACATTTGTGAATAATAGGAAACGCCTCCTTTAGTCGTCTGTGTACAGCAGTTGGGTGGGGTTTGTCAGACCAGTCAGCGCCAGAAAATCTTAGAAATGTCACTCGTTGAAAAGTTCACCTTGTTTGTCATTGGTGTTATTTTTCTTACATGTTGAGGGTGTAGTGACTATCAAAGACTTGCCAGAATATGCTGGAGATTTGAATTGCTCAATCTGAATGTAAATATGTTAGAGGTACGTTTTAAGTAGCATGTTTATGAAATATTTGCAAGTGACTTTAAACAACAAGTGCTGCTTTAAAAAGAAATGGAATGCTTTAAATGTGAAATTTTAATATGCAACTAAAACATGAAAGGTTGTTATGTAATTACATACAGTTCAACCAGAGTATTTTAGTATGGAAGTTAGCTTTGGACAGATTTATGTTGGAGACAGATTGCAATTAGAACATGGCCTCAAATGCAGATGTCCTGCAGTTTGTTTATGCAACAGAGGGAATTATGAATGTATGGTGCACAATTCTGTTGCAGTATTATAACAATGTGTCTGAAATATATCAAAAACTGTCTAATCATATCCTCCACTTATATCACAAACAATGAGCAGACTAGCCTTGAGTCCAAACACAGCACTATCCTGAACACAACACAGCAAACCCTGAAGCAGATGAGGTACAGCACGATGCCTCATCGTTCTCACCTGACCGATATGTGTCGCCACTCATACAATACTACCACATAAGTGCCAATGTAGGAAGACAAGAAGTCAAAAGTGGAAGCAAAGACTTTCAAGTTTTTTGAACTGTTGCAACATCTCCCTCTGTATATCTGAGGGAGATATCTCTGAGCTTCTGTACTGAAATATCATTATTATGGCAGTAAAAACCATCATGATCATACCCTCATGTCTTCAACCCAGATGCAGCAGCCAAGGTAGAATGCAGCAGGTCAGAAAAAATTGAGGTGCACAATATGAACGTGTCTGTGTAGTTCTCAGTTAATAACAACATGGAAGTCTAAAGAGCTTGAAAAGCAGGTTGTTTTTTAAAAAAATATGTTTTTCCTCATATTTAAGAGGCTTCTTCATTTCTAAGTCCAAGGTATTTATCTCTAGTTGAGGTTGTCACTTAGGAAGTGGTTGTTGACCCACTATTGGTTGTGTTATCACATAAGCCAAGATGTGAAAAAATGCATTGGCCATTACCATCATGATTTCGGGTCAAACCACTGTGACACCTTGCCCCACCCCTATTATGTGACCTACTGAGGTCACCTGATGTGAGTGGGGGTTAAGGCACCTGAGAATAGATCTCAAGACTTATCAGTCCAAAAACCGAGAAGATATATGGTTTGTAAGAGGAATAAAAGAAACCATCTATGCCACTCACCGAACAGAGTTGGTGGCTTACGATACCAATGGTCAGCGACCTACAATCCAGTCTTGAGATCCCTTCCCAGGTCCCTCACCCCCCACTCACTGATGACTATATCTTTATGGTAAGCGGGATTTACACCAGCTGTTCTGATCTAGTTATTCATGCCTTACCATATTGTTTGCAATAAGGCTTGTCTGCATCCAAGTTGATGGCATTGCTTGTAAAGTTGTTTTGCTTTCATAAATGTGTTATGTTGTCTAACTGTCTGAAAAAGTGAAAATGATTTGACTCTAGGGCTGTGCGATATGACCAAAATCTCATATCCCGATATAAGACATCTATCGTCCAGATAACGATATAAATCACAAGAATGTAACATTTTCTGTGAATCTCGGGCAGCTCGGCGTCATGTACGTGGAGTTGAGTGTTTTAACCGATGCATGAAACGATACATTTTTAGACATAAGTTGTAACGGACGCCTTTTTTTTTTTTTTTGGAAGTATTAATTACACAGCATGCTGCGGGGAAAAGAACATACAGTCATCATAAAACAAGGAATGCCACATTGCCATATTCTCACTCTTGATATGTGTATTTACATTCTGTAACAGTAGCATCGTGTCTGGTATTGCTTCTCTTTCTGTCTCTTACTGTAAAATCTATCAAGCCCCAACCTAAGCTGTGCTGCACTCGACAAAATAACAGCCCACAGAGAAATCACTTTACACTCCCAACTATACAGCAGCTGAAACCACAATGAATAGAAGCACAAAACGTTGCTCCAGGTGGACTTTAGTGCGGTGTAGACTTGCAGTGGTTTATCACACCGCCAACAGTATTAAATAACTTGGTTTAAAATAAGATCATAATATTGCAATGACATCATTAACTGCAATTTTATAGTTAGTGTGGTGTTGAAGTGATGATGTTTTAAATCTGGGTAGCTATACAGTTTTGTTTTGTTTTTTTTTTTGTTTGTTTTTTTTTAACCTTTCCTTACACTTGTCTGGTGTTTCTGCCTCACCCTTTTCTCCCTCAGGGCTTTGACCCCCCTCATCAGAGTGATACCAGGACAGTGTACGTAGCTAACCGTTTCCCCCAGAATGGCCACTACATACCACAACGCTTTGCCGACAACAGAATCATCTCATCCAAGGTATGTTACAATTATGATCTTAAAATTTGTGTCAAAAGTGCAAGGGGAAAAAAAACCCTCTTGATATGAACGCTAACATTTTGCAGTCACAGCAACTATGGCTACAGAAAATTTGTCATTGAGAGAAACTCTAAACTCAGTCTGGTTTCGAACACCAGTGTTGACCACTGCTAAATACATTAGTGTGTATCTCTGGTGTGGTAGGAGAGAGATAAGCTTAAAGTGTGATTTGTTGATAACAGGATTAGCACAGACAGAAAACTTGTGTGTTGGTGAGAGGCTAAGTTGGTTAGCTAGAGCACTGGCAAGACAAAAGGATAACAAAGAAAAGGAGCTAGGGCCTGCCTCCAGCAATCATGACTGTCATTGATTAGCCGGTAGATTAAATGATTGACGGGAAGGTTAAAGCACCTGCTTTAGTCAGGCATTGATTTCAAACTGATTTTGGATAAGGTTAATTCTGCCATTCGTGTGTACTCATACAGTTAGGTCCATATGCGTTTTATGTTTTTCCTCTTTACACAGCAATAGAATTTTTTTCAATTAAGATTAGCTTGAAATGCAGAGCTTTGATTCAAAGGGTTTAACAAAAACATTGCATTAACTGCTTAGTAATTACAGGTATTTTAACATATGGTCCCCATTTTCAGCTGCTCAAAAGTTATTGGACACGCAACTGACAACCAGTTTCCGGCGAGGCTTCATTATTTTATGTTAAATGGGGGTGACATATATTGGCTGTTGATTCCAAATATTCAACTTGTATATTATAGCTTGTCGATGGAACTCCTAAAATGAGCTTGTGATGTATGCGACACACACACTCACCGTTTTTGCTCACGATCACGTTTTTATTTATAATAACAATGCGCCGTGACAGCTCGCCCCGGTCCAGCCCTTTCAGGAGATGAGAAGAACTTCAGGAGGGGCCATATCTACAATCTAGTACAATAACCCAGGCACTAGCACAGGCATGTGTGGGTGATAGTGGAACTGGGCTGCTAGTGTTTACTGATGATGTGACTGCTGATAGAAGCAGCAGGATGAATTGTGAAGTGTGCAGGGCTATACTCTCTGAGCAGAGAGTATCTCAACACAGCATTGATGATGTCCATAGGATCCAGAAGTCATTGACAGCAAAGGATTTTCATTCAAGTATTAAAAATTCCTGTAATTTAAAATTATGCTTCTTTACTTCTGAGCCTATGGAAATTTGGGACTTGATTCAAGTCTTGATTGTTGGATTTTAAAATCCATTGTGGTGGTGCAGAGAGGTAAAACTACCAAAACTTTCATTCTTCAGAAACTTATGGACCTAACTGTCTGTAGCATTTTATCTTAATAAAGTAAGACAAAGACTTAAACGGCACATTTATTGAGTAAATTACACAGAGCAACCAGTAATCAGTTTATCTGAAGCACACTTTAACTCAGCACAGCTGCTGTACTCCTTTATCTCAAGCTCCAATTTGGAAATGGCAGTGAACACTATAGCCATAGACGAGACCTTTTACAGGGGTAATCAGAATATCATTTAACTATATTATTGTATTCATGTAAGGTCTTAAATATGGCCAGTATAAATATGACACAGTAAAAGTGTTTTTTTTTCTGCTCTAATAAACAGTTGCTACAGTAGTTTGAATACCTCCAGATACACTATCTATGTATTTGCAATTCAATTCCTCTGTTTTACTTAGTAAAAAAGAACCTTTAGTAGCAATTATTCTGTCCCAGTAAACCCTGAAAGATGTTTGCTTTTTTTTATTTCAGTATACAGTTTGGAATTTTGTCCCCAAGAATCTGTTTGAGCAGTTCAGAAGGATAGCAAACTTCTACTTCCTCATTATCTTCCTTGTACAGGTAACGACACACAAATGCATGTGAACACTCCTTGACGTATTTCCTTCTCTTAATACAAATGCCTGTGCTCGTTCTTGTGCTTGTGCTTCCGAGCATTGAGTGACTCATCGACTTCTAGGTACCAGAGCAGAGACTGGTCTGCCTCTGTATGAAAGCGACACACTTACTCACTTAGTAATATGTGTGTCTTTGCAGCCAGCCCTAAGCATTAGGCCTTCACTGTGCATCAGTCATTTTATGCTGAAGTAGGATTTGGCTTTCAAATTTTTAGCCTTCTGATTTATTCTGCACTGTGTAGTGAAGCCAAAGCAATCGCCTTGACTCTGTCTATTTCACCCACTCAACTTGCCAGTGAGGCTGAAGTCAGCTTAGCCTCAAATCACTGAGAGAGGGGCCTCTTTTCATCTAAGATGGCCAATTTGACCATTTAAAGATTGCTTTAGATGGGTTTCTAGATGACTGGTGAATTCTTCTGTTAGTGTAGCCATTTACAGAAAGTGTTTGTTAAAGTGTTAAGATATCTTTTCCTTGAGGCGTCTTCCTTTTAAGCAAAGTTTCACTTTACATTCAGTGTTGCTTGCCTAAAGCCTTTGTGGTTACGCTTGAAACCTAACAAATGTTGCACATTTTCCTCACATGAAAAGTTTGCAGTGCATTTGTTTTTTTATGAACATGCATTGTTTACATTCATGTTGCTTTCTTTCTCATTTGTCTGCTCAAGGATTTTTTTTTTTAGAGTAATTATTATTATTTTATTTTTTTTATTGGATGACTACTTCCACCTGTAGATTAGTGCAACAGTGTGAAAGAGTTGCCAGAAACCTGCTTATGAAAACCCCCGCAATCCAAAACTAATATCCACTAATAAAAGCACTGCTCAATGGCACTAAACCATTTTAGCTTGGTCTTCAGTTTCACACACTTTGCTCAGCATTTCATTGTGATTATTAAGACCAGGATATGGGGTGAGGAAATATAATATCCCAGTGACCCTGCTTACAAAGACAGTAGTTCAAAAGTGTGTGTGAGACTTATTCTTATCTGATCGTTGACCTTTAAGGGAAGTTATACGGGTTTCCTGTTTATGCACATTGGCCACTACTTCTGTCGTATTTTTCAAGTTGCTTGTTGTTGCAAAAACCACTACCACTTTTACAGTCCCTTTTTTAGTTTGGCAGCATCTCTAAACTCTCTGTTTTGTATTTTTCTTTGAAGTTAATGATAGATACGCCAACTTCCCCAGTAACCAGCGGCCTGCCTCTGTTCTTTGTGATCACAGTAACTGCCATAAAACAGGTGAGAACATAACCACATAGCGGCTTCCTCTTCCTCATGAAAATGTGGAACAAACATGCATGCGTCATCAATGATTATTGTCTATTTGTAGGCAAAGCTCAAAGCTTTTGTTGTTGTACAAAGCACATTTGAAATGATAAAGTATTGATTGAGAACATTTGAAGCATTCCCGCTTCTGACATTAAACAAGTTTGTTTAGAATAACTTGTTAAATTTGGTGGCCACTTCTGTTGATCAGTTTCTAGTAGTGCCACACATGCCACACACATAACCATAGTCAGTAAATAAGATTATTTTAACCAGCTGCCATCTGCAGTTTGTAACTGGTTGTGTTTCACAGGGCTATGAGGATTGGCTGAGACACAAGGCTGACAATGAGGTGAATGGGGCTCCAGTGTTTGTGGTTCGCAGTGGAAGTCTGGTCCAGACGAGATCCAAGAATATCAGGGTAAGATCATCAAAGTTGTAAAGGACCTTAATCATGCCAGTTATTCGAGGTTAGAAAGAATTTCTTTGGTCCAAGAAAATTAAGGTATCAAAAAAAGCTTTTTGCAACTCCTAACGAATCGATGTAACTAACTTTAGCTTGGATGTTATAGTGTCATTTCTTTAAATTTGTTCCCATCTAAAGCTTATAAATTCACTCTAATACCTAATTTCCCGTGGTACAGTATGTGGACACTCAGAGACCTGTTCATAATTCAAATAAACCCTGAAACGGTGATGTGATTCTGTTCTATGTCTAATTGTATTTGTATAACTAGCTGCAGCATTTGCCCTTCAAACACTGTGTCATTTTATACCTCAGCATGTCTGGTAATGGTGGTTGTGTGATGATTATAGGTTTTTCCTGATCTTATCCGACACCATGGAAACACTGTGGGTTGCATGTCTGGGGTCATCACTAAAGACATCTCTAAATGTGTACTTTAGTAAAAGAATAAATTAATCACTTCAGGGTTTTTTTCCTCACAGGAAACTAGGTGCCAACAGGAGAAATTGTTTAATCTAATACAAAGGATGACTAGTTGCTTTGTGTTTGGTGTTAGTTTTGGTGCGAGTTAATTGTCCTCAATCTATGGAGAACTACATCGCTTCTAACCTGCTACTCACAAACATCTAACTGCATAGCTTCTATTAAATAAGTAAAATATGTAGTGTTGTATTACTCTGAAAAGACAAAAAGCTAAAAATTACAAACTGTAATATAACAATTAAACGTATTGTCTAGAGTGTGAACAATACAGAGTTTTTGTTTGATTTCTGTTCACACACAGAACATTTGAAACACTCCCAGTGAACTAAAATGCTTCACAACACTTCACTAACCAGTGAGAATGCTCACTACACTTCTTGGCCAGGCTCTGGAGTAGTAGATAACATGGAGAATGTACCTCTAACATTTCCATTTACCTAGGCAAATTTTCAGGCAAAATGGTATTCTTTACATCTTTATGTGGTACTCTACCACATCCTCAAAGCTCACCTGACTACAGGACGGCGTGTAGCTCTTGCAGCGTGCGCCTAGTACCTGGGTCACATTGACATCAGAACACATTGTCACAATACAAAAACGGCTCCGGAGCTTGTTTAGAAGCAGAGTGAGCCAACGTCCTCCAAAGGGTCCAACTGTGGGTGTTTTCATGTACGCTAAAGAGCACAGAGATCAAAAACAACCAAAAATGAACACATTTGCAAATTTCGATAATAGTTGCACCCCAATCATTTCTAACTTACCTACAATATATATTTCTTAACAAAGTCATTTAGCTATTTAGTTTTAAACATTTTTAGATTTCTAAAATATTTGTGTGTGTGTGTGTGTGTGTACTTATTCTTTTCTCCTATCTGTCTGAAAACGTGTGATAATATTGCCTAAGTGATGCTAAACGTATTTTAACTCAATTAAACATCACCGTAAATGTGTGAATACAATTATTTGACAATCCAACTGAAATATAGTGAAAAACTGAACAGACTTTACCCCGTGCCTGCTTCTGTCTATTCATCTAGGTGGGAGACATCGTCCGTGTGGCTAAAGATGAAACGTTCCCAGCAGACCTGGTGTTACTGTCGTCAGATCGTCCAGATGGCACCTGTCACATCACCACAGCCAGTCTTGACGGAGAGACCAATCTCAAGGTCTGACAATAATATGAGTGGTGCTGTTAAACATACTTGGAGGTGTTTAAATCTCTTTAGCTTTGTCACTGTGAGTTTTCAGAAGCTATTTTCACCCTCTTTTCTTTGTCGCAGCTCAAGCAAATACTAGATTTTTGCTTTGTCGAAGTGACACTTTTTGTATATTTCTGTTTGGGTCATTTAAAGTATTATTTACATAAAAAAAACAATATTGAATTTCAGTTGTTGCAAACATGCTGACATGAATGCATGGCTAATAACCTAGTCAGGAAAATGTGAAACCAATTTTATAAATCGTCTGTGATCTGAGTCACTGCAGTGAGTAATTGCTCGTACCAGTGATGGTGTTGATATACAGGAAGGAAAGTTGACGATATTGCTGAGAGTCAGACATCATAAGGCCTGCATATTAAAGCCCTGTGGATGGAGAGCTCCTCACTGAGCCTCATTCATTAGCAGCTTATGGAAACAGTTTACATAGAATAGGAGTTCTTTTTTTATTTTATTTTTTTAGAAAACTAAGTTTAGTTCGAACTTGTTTGTGTCTGGCATA